TCCCCGAAGCCGAACGCAACAACGCACCCCATCTTTCGCGCCTTTCCTCGGGCCGCACACTGGAGAATTCAAGGACTCCTGTTTCTTCAGTGCAAACGGGGGTCAGCCAGGGCACCGGATCCTGCAGGATCCTGCGAAGACCCCCTCTGGCTGACCGGGGTTAGTCGGGTTGACCCAAAAGGGGGTCCAGCGACAAGGGGGTGGTGCAATAGATTTGGTGCAATAGATTTGTGGGGTTGCAATACGATTGGGGCGTGCAATACATTTCGGGGCGCAAATGTATTGCAGTATTTTCGCGTGCAACGCATCATTTGCAATACAATGCAATACAATTCTCCGGCGCAATACAGTTGCAATACAATTGCCCCAAATCTATTGTACCACCCCATTTCAGCTGGACCCCTTTTTTGGGCCACCCAGAGTTAGCGAGCCGCTCGTGACCGCGAGGCGGCCGCGCATATTGGCTGACCCGGGTTTGCGAAGACCTGCGCTGCAGTTTTTTTTCCTGCATTGCAGTTTTCTGGTTTGCTGCTGACCCGGGCCTGGATTGGCCGGCCCGGGTCAGAAGATCCCCGATTTCTCGCGGCAAGTCTGGTGTTCACGCCTGTGTGCGTGAAGCAGCCGCGTGTGTGAGGTTCCACCAGACTCTGCGTGGGCAAAGGCTGCGCAGCAGCACCTGCCGCTGACTGAAGCACGGTGCACAGTGCAGCAGCGGCAGGGGCCGTGCCGACGCCGCCGCGCAGCAAGCACCGATTGCTGCTCGAGTTGGAGCAAGACGGGGGGTGGCGGTACAACGCAATTCGTGCGCGCGCCCACAGTTGTCATCACAGAAGCTCAATTACGGTGAACCGCCGCCGCCCCCCTGTCTTAGGGAATCCTCAGGAATGCCTCGGGAATCCGAGGACTTCCAAGGGAATCCTCAGGAATTCCGAGGGGATCCTTAGGAATGCATAGAACATTCCGAGGGAGTTCCTGGTGAACCTTTTCAGGAGTTCCTAGGGAACGTGGCTGTGTGGCCAATCGTTAGGCCAACGCCCGGCCACGATGTGGGGCGATGTGGGCCTTCAGCCGTGGTGGGAGCCTTTGGTGAAATACCTGGGGGAGGGAGACAGGAGGAGGAGGAGGAGGAGGAGGAGGAGGATGACCAGTGTCAACCCAAGAGTCATCGACGATGTTGGGATAAACCCTCCCTCCAAGCTCCCTCTTCATAGCCCCCTACAACGGCTTATTTCCACTGAGGGGGCTGCATCCTTGGAAGACAACCGTCTGAAGACGCTGAAACATGCTAACACATGTTGTCGGGATTCCAACGCCACGGATCAACCTGACTGTTGAGGTTGGACGATCCTGAATCGAGCCAGAACGCCATTCTTGGGACTTCACCACTGCGAATCAACAGAACTGCTGCGCCTTCATAATCCAGAATCCTTCCTAAACACCGTTATGGTGCGTTGATCATGGGGATCCGTGAATCTTGGGGAATGTGCACGGCGCTAGGGCGAGATCCACATGTTGAAAAGGAGCCGCCCTCACCCCGTGAAACTCTTGCAAACCTTAAAACGAATGTGCGCGGTGCTAAGGCGAGAGCCATATTTTAAAAACGTGCTGCCCTCAACCCGTGACACCCCTACAATGTTTTAAAACGAACGTGCGCGGCACCCAGGCGAGAGCCACATTTTGAAAACGACCCGCTCTGAATACGTGATGCTCTTGCAATCGTTTTAAACGAATGTGCGCGGCGCTAAGGCGAGAGCCACAGTTTGAAAACGACCCGCCCTCAATTCGTGAAGCGGTAGCCAGTGTTTAAGCCTCAGGGTCATAAATGATGAGGAAGTCTCAGGCGAAACGCCCGGCCCGCCCTAAGAATTGGTTTTGGGGTGCGACAGGGAGAACGTAGTTATAAGGAGGAATGGAGGAGGAAGAGGAGGAGGAGGACGAGGCCTCTTAGGATCCTCGCGGGGCGGGCTTCCTGAGGAGCATGTTGGGACCCTCTTGGGCCGTCCCAGGGCGATTGGCCAGTCGGACGCTTCCGGAGACGACCTTGTGGGCCTCTCTGTAGCCTCAAGTCGGGCACGTTCTTCCACAGGAGGAATATCCCAAAATGATCAAACATTAGTGTTTTCCTATTCTCGAAGATGTTTGGACTAGTTTTCATTTTTCGTCTAAAAATCCGCCTGTTGGGGGACATGTCCGACCTAATTGTAGCCTCTTGAGGCGTTAAGGGCCCCCTTGGAGGTCTATTGGGCCTCCTTGGGGCAGTCCTCGGGGCCTCTTGGCCCGTCGTGGTGTTCTCATGGGCCGCCCTGGGGCTACCTTGGGGGCCCCTAGCCATCAGCGTGCTGGTTACATTTGAGATGTCTCACATGGTGTTCCGGGTGGCACGTGTCACCCCCGTGTAGTTTCTCACTGTATGGCCCCATGTTGGCGCCTAGAATACGAATGAAATGAAACAAGTTGTTTTTCTCGCACGGTTTCTGGGGTGACACGTGTCACCTTTGTGCGGTTTCATTGTGTGGCCCCATGTTGGCGCCCAGAATACGCGTGAAACAATTGGTTTGTCTCACACCCTGTTCGGTGTGACACGTGTCACCCTTGTCTGGTTTCACATTGTATGGTCCCATGTTGGGATCCAGAATGCGAGTGAAACAATTGTTTCTTTCTCACACGGGTTCTGGGGTGGTTCTGGGGTGACACGTGTCACTTGTGTGTGGTTTCATGTTGTATGGCCCCAGGTTGGTGCCCAGATTACGAGTGGCACAATTAAGTGGTTCACACGGTTGTCCGGGTGTCACGTGTCACCTTGGTTTGGTTTCATGTTGGATGGCCTCATTTTGGGGCCCAGAATGCGAGTGGAACAATATTGATGTGTCTCACATTGTTTTCTGGGAAACACGTGTCACCCGTGTGGTTTCGCATTGTATGGCCCCATGCTGGCGCCTAGAATACGAGTGAGAAACATGTTTTTGTTATTGCAAGGTTTTCGTGCTGACACGTGTCGCCCCTGCGTGGTTTCACATTGTATGGCATCATGTCGGCGTCTAGAATACGAATGACACAATTGTTTGTTTACAAGGTTTTCGGGGTGACACGTGCCACCCTTGTGTGGTTCCGCAATGGACGGCCCCATATTGGCGACCAGAATTCGAGTTAAAACGTTGTTTGTTCTTACAAGGTTTTCGGGCTGACACGTGTGAGCCCTGCGTGGTGTCACCTTGTATGGCCCCATGTTGGCGCCTGGGATACGCGTGAAACACTTGCTGTTTTCTCACACGGTTTCCTCGGTGGCACGTGTCGCCCTTGTGTGGTTTCACATTGTATGGCCTCATGTTGGCGCCCAAAATGCGAGCAGTACAAGTGTGTTTTCGCACACGGCTTGCGGGGTGACACGTGTCACCCTTGTGTGGTTCCACACTGGATTGCCCCATGGTGGCGCCCATAATAAGAATGATTATTTTCACATGGTTTTCGGGGTGGCACGTGTCACCATTGTGTGGTTTCGCACTATATGGCCCCATGTTGGCGCCCATACGAAGAGCAAGCTATTTCTCACACGGTTTCTGGGGTGACACGTGTCACCCTGGTCTGGTTTCACAGTGTATGGCCATTGTGGTTTCACACTGTATGGCCCCATGTTGGCGCCCAGAATACGAGTGGAACACTTGGTTTGTCTCGCGCGGTGTCCGGGGTGACACGTGCACCCTTGTGTGGTTTACACTGTATGTCCCCATGTCGGCGCCCAGAATAGAAGTGAAGCAGCTGGTTTTTCTTACACGGTGTTCGGGGTGAGGCGTGTCGCCTTTGTGTCGTTTCACACTGTGCGGCCCCATGCTGACGCCCAGAGTGCGCGTGAAACAAATGGTTTTGCTGACGGATTTCGGGGTTGCACGCGTCACTTGTGCGTGCGTGTTTTCACATTGTCTGGCTCCATGTTGGCGTCCAGAATACAACTCAAACACTTGGTTTTTCTCACAGGGTTTCCGGGGTGGCACGTGGCACCCTTTTGTGCGTTCGCACTGAATAGCTCCGTGTTGGCGCCCAGGATACGAATGAAACATTTGGTTTCCTCACACGGTTTTCGGGGTGGCACGTGCCACCCCTGTGTGGTTGCACATTGGATTGCCCCATGTTGGCGCCCAGAATAAGAATGAAACACTTGTTTTTTCTCACACGGTTTTCGGGGTGGCACATGTCACCTGTGTGTGATTTCACACTGTATGACCCCATGTTGACGTCCAGAATACGAAGGAAATATTTGTTTGTTCTCACACGGTGTTCGGGGTGACACGTGTCACCTTTGTGTGGTTTCACGCTGCATGGTGGCCCCATGTTGGCGCCAAGAATACGAATGAAATAATTGTTTTTTTCTCACACGGTTTTCGGGGTGGCACGTGTCACTTTTTCGTGGTTTCACGCTGCATGGTGGCCCCATGTTGGCGCCCAGAATGCGAGTGAAATGCATGTTGTCTTCTCACGAGGTTTCTGGGGGGACACGTGTCACCCTGGTCTGGTTTCGCTTTGTATGGCCCCATGTTGGCGCCTAGAATACAAGCGAAACAATTGCTGTTTCTCACGTTTTTCGGAGTGACACGTGTCCCTTGTGTGGTTTCACACTATATGGCACCATGTTGGCGCCCATAGTGTGAGTAAGTCAGATGTGGTTTTTCTCACACGGTTTTCAGGGTGAGGCGTGTCACTTGTGTGAGGTTTCGCATTGTATTGCCCCACGTTGGCGCCCGTAATACGAAGAACACAGTTGGTTGTTCTCATGGTTTTCAGGGTGAGACGTGTCACCTTTGTGGTTTTACATCAGTCGGCCTTGTGTGGATTCATACTGTATGGCCCCATGTTGGCGCCCAGATTACAAGTACAACAATTGTTTGTTCTCAAACGGTTTCCAGGGTGAGCCGTGTCCCCTTTCTGGTCTCACATTGTGTGGCTCATGCTGGCGCCCAGAATGCGACAGAAACAGCTGGTCTTGTGTGGTTTCGCACTGTATGGCCCTATGATGGCGCCCATAATGCGAGTGGATCAATCGTTGTTTTCTTTCTCATGCGGTCTTCAGGTTGAGACGTGCCACCTTTATGATGTCACGCGGTACGGCCCCATGTTGGCGCCCAGGACACGATCCGTAGCTATTTTGGCTGAAGCCGTTTCGGCGCACTTGGTCGAGCTTAGCTGCGGCCCTGGTTGGCTCGTCTCGTCTGCGATGCCCACGATGCGACGGCCATCCTATGACTGCTCTCTGAGCTTGCGTGTAGCTCCGCTGCTCTTCGTGTGCACGTCCAGCATTGATACGTGCAGCCTTGTTGGAGGTAATTTTATGTTGAAGACTATCTGCGAAACGTTTGCAGGCAGCAGTAAGCAGACGGACCTCGCGACGGCGGGTCTTCAGGTCATTGGCGCTGGTGCCGGCCGCACTGGCACAGCGTCGCTGCAAGTCGCTTTGGACATCTTGGGCTACAACTGTTACCACATGCGGGAGGTATTGATTAATGGCGACAGCAGCGCGTGGATGGGTCTGCTCACGGGGAAGATTGGTGTCGAAGACATCGTGTCGATGCTCGTGCACAAAGGTTTTACCGCCACAGCTGACGATCCAGCAAGCGCGTTCGCGCTCGAGTTTGTTGAGCACCTCCCGGATGTAAAAGTGATTTTGACAACGCGCACAGACCCAGAGAAGTGGTTAGACAGTCTTCAGCAGCTTGCAACCCTTGAGAAGGTAAGCTCATGGTTGCCTCTCGCGATCATTCCTCGGTTTGTGAACTTCGGCAAGATGGCCGTGTTTTACCATGCAAAGCGAGGTTATGCATTTGACCCGGATTTTATGAACCGTTCGGTGGCACTACAGTGGTACAACGATCATAATGCAAATATTCGAGCCAGAGTACCCAAGGACCGGCTTCTGGATTTTCAAGTGACCGATGGGTGGGAGCCGCTTTGTTCTTTCCTGGGGAAGCCGATTCCTAATGTTCCGTTTCCACGCGTGAACGACAAGGACGGCTTCAATTTTGCGCTTGCTTTTCTTGAGTGTCTCCATTGGGTCATACTTGCCGTGTCGGTGCTGATCGTTGTTTGCGCCATGGTTGCATGTTGCCGGGCTGGAAGGCCCAAGGTGAAAGTACATTGATGAACGTAGCACCCCGCAGATGCGGATAAAAGTGAGGGGCCAGTGGGGACGTCGGCAGTTCGCGAGACTGGAGAAGCCCGCCGCAGGCGCCAAAGTATCACAAATTACACAACGAGCCCGCCGCAGGCGCCGATTTCTTCGTTAAGCCAAATGGGTCGCAAATGGGTCGCGGGTGCGTCGCGGGTGGGTCGCCGGTGGGTCGCCGGTGTGTCGCGGGTGTGGAGGGCAGAAAATCCACCCCATCGTAATCACCCCGACGAGCGAAGCCGTTTAGTCAACGCACACAAGGAATGAATCGAACAGGGCAGGGCGGTTTAGTTTAAACGTCCATGGCCGTTGAGCAAACGTCAATTGTCGGATGAGGGTGGTTTCTCCTCCCTTGAGGGTGGGTCGCGGGGTGGGTCGCGGGGTGGGTCGTGGGGTGGATCGCGGGTGGGACGACGACAACAACAACAACAGCAGCAACAACAACAACAACACCAACACCACCAACAACAACAACAACAACAGCAGCAGCAGCAGCAACAACAACAACAACACCAGCAGCAGCAGCAACAACAACAACAGCAACACCACCAACAACAACAGCAGCAACAACAACAACAAACACAACACCAACAACAACAACAACAACAACATCAACATCAACATCAACAACAACAACATCAACAACAACAACAACAACTCAAAAAGCAGAGTTCTGACCACGAATTCCCTATTCAGCCACGCACCCAGGGATAATGAATGACCATTCGGCCCCCTCATTCTGATAAAGAACGCGCAAAGCGATCAGGGTCGCAACACAACGTTGCGGTTTCCGACAAGCTTTATATTGGCACCACAATTGCGCATTTAGAATAGTCAAACTATTGAGGATCTTCGCCGCCCAGGTCTGTGGCACAGCAGACGTGGTGGGAGGATCGCGACTCAACATCGATGAAACAAAAAATGCTGGCGCCCAGAATATGACAGAAACAGTCGGCGCTGTGTGGTTTCACACTGTACGGCCCCATGTTGGCGCCCAGAATACGAGTGAATCAATCGGTTTTTCTAACAAGGTTTTCGGGGTGGCACGTGTCACCCCTGTGTGGTTTCCCACTGCATGGCCCCATGTTGGCGCCCAGAATACGAGTGAAACAATACATGTTTCTCACGGTTTCCAGGGTGACATATGCCATTTTGTATGTCTTCGCATTGTATGGCCCCATGTTGGCGCCCACAATGAGAGTTAATCACATGTTTTTTTTTCACACGGTTCTCAGGGTGAGGCGTGTCACCTTTGTGGTTTCACACTGTATGGCCCCAAGTTGGCGCCCAGAATGCGACAGAATCAGTTGACCTTGTGTGGTTTCACACTGTGTGGCCCCATGTTGGCGCCCGGAATGCGAAGGAAACAATTGTTTTTGTTCTCGAACGGTTTTCAGGCTGAGCCGTGTCACCTTTGCGGTTTCACATTGTGTGGCCCCATGTTGGCGCCCAGAATGCGACAGAAACAGTTGGCCTTGGGTGGTTCCACACTGTATGGCCCCATGTTGGCGCCTGGAATACGAAGGGAACCGTGGGTTTTGGTCACACGGTTTTCGGGGTGGCACGTGTCACCCTTGTGGTTTTACATTGCATGGCCACTTGTTGGCGCCCAGAATGCGACAGAAACAGTTGGCCCTGTGTGGTTTCACATTGTATGGCCCTATGGTGGCGCAGAAAAAACAAATGAAACAATTTGTTTTTCTCACACGGTTTTCGGGGTGCAACGTGTCAGCCCGAGGAGTTTTCACACCGTACGGCCACATGTTGTCGCTCAGAATACGAGTGAAACAAATTGTTCTTTTCACACGGTTCTCGGGGTGACGCGTGTAATTTTTCTATGTGGTTTCACACCGCATGGCCTCGCCTCCTGCTGTTATTCACTCGCGGGGGCCAATTCCGCGGGCCACGTGGGGCGTGGCCCATGCCCCATGGTGCATACATCGCCGAGCATGCGGTGACATGGGCCTGGCCGGCCAATCGAGCACGACCGTTCTTTGCTGTGGACGGGTATAACGCCCATGAGTGGAAGCGGGCTTTGCTTGTGGGGGGGGGGAAGGAACACAAAGTGCATGCGAAGGAAACAATTGTTTTTGTTCTCGAACGGTTTTCAGGCTGAGCCGTGTCACTTTTGCGGTTTCACATTGTGTGGCCCCATGTTGGCGCCCAGAATGCGACAAAAACAGTTGGCCCTGGGTGGTTCCACACTGTATGGCCCCATGTTGGCGCCTGGAATACGAAGGGAACAATGGGTTTGGGTCACACGGTTTTCGGGGTGGCACGTGTCACCCTTGTGGTTTTACACTGCATGGCCACTTGTTGGCGCCCAGAATGCGACAGAAACAGTTGGCCCTGTGTGGTTTCACATTGTATGGCCCTATGTTGGCGCAGAAAAAACGAGTGAAACAATTTGTTTTTCTCACACGGTTTTCGGGGTGCAACGTGTCAGCCCGAGGAGTTTTCACACCGTACGGCCACATGTTGTCGCCCAGAATACGAGTGAAACAAATTGTCCTTTTCACACGGTTCTCGGGGTGACGCGTGTAATTTTTCTATGTGGTTTCACACCGCATGGCCTCGCCTCCTGCTGTTATTCACTCGCGGGGGCCAATTCCGCGGGCCACGTGGGGCGTGGCCCATGCCCCATGGTGCATACATCGCCGAGCATGCAGTGACGTTGGCCTGGCCGGCCAATCGAGCACGACCGTTCTCTGCTGTGGACGGGTATAACGATAACGCCCATGAGTGGAAGCGGACTTTGCTTGTGGGGGGGGGGAAGGAACACAAAGTGCCCAGTGCCCACGGGGCGTGCCCCAGACCCCAGGGGCACACCCCATACGCCAGGTTCTCTGCTTGGGTTCGGGCGAGGCCTCTGCGTGTTCCAACGTCGGCCTGACAAAATGCCCAGTGCCCACGGGGCGTGCCCCAGACCCCAGGGGCACACCCCATACGCCAGGTTCTCTGCTTAGTTTCGGGCGAGGCCGCTGCGTGTTCCAACGTCGGCCTGGGCCGGCCTCCCGTGGCGCCTCCATGAGGACGTTGTTTTTTGGTTGGTCTGCGCGCCTGCCTTTGGGTGTCCTCTGGTCCTGTGGCTCGGGCGGGGCGGCCGCGGCCGCGGCCCAACTTCCCGGGGCGCCCTGCTGTGCTCCTATTCCTTGGGCGAGGGTCGCCCCCTTCGGGGCCACGCCGACGCTCGCTTTTTTTGTTTTTTTTGTTTTCGGGCGGTTTTTTTTGCGCTTCGTTTTGCCCAGCGGCCCGAGCGGAGCCCCCTTATGGGATGGCCCGACGCAGATGTGTTTCTGCCCGTGCGCCGGGCCGGCCCCTCGCCCGCCGTGGCGGTCCGCGTCAAACCCGCTCGAGAGGGCTGTCCGTCGGGCCGACTGCGGGCCCCCTCGTGGAGCAGCCGCGGGATCTTTTTTTGTTGGGGGGGGTGATGAGCCTGTTTTCCACCACCACCACCATAAGTTGGAGGGGGGAAGAAGGAGGAGGGCGAGGAGGAGAGGAGGACGAAGAGGAGGAGGAGGAGGAGGAGGAGGAGGAGGAGGAGGAGAAGGAGGAGGAAGAGGAGGAGGACGAGGAGGACGAGGAGGACCCCCCCCCTCCAACTTATGGTGGTGGTGGTGGAAAACACGCCCATCAGGGGGGGTCGGGGCGCGGGCTCCCGGGGCGTGGGTGTTGTCTGCGAGGGCCCGCGCGGGGTGCGGCTTGCTCTGCTCCGGCCGCCCTGTCGGTCCGCAGCGCTTTTTCAGCCCTTGTTGCGCCTGGTGGTTGCCGGCCTCTCCGCGGGGAGCAGTGACAGGCCCTTCCCCGGAGGAGAGGGCGGGGGCTGGAAGCGGGCGCGCTTTCAGCCACTCACGCCCTCAAGGGTTGGTGGGATCAGCGTGTGGAGAGGTGGCGCCGTTCGCTGGCATTTCCGCTGCAGAATGGCGCCGTGCGATGCATGAGAGAACGGACCGCGCGATCCGCTGAGTGCCGCAAGTGTCCGAGCACCTTGCTGCAGCTTCATGCCACCGGTGTGGCTCCCTATGCGGCGCCATGCGCGCGAAGGGTGTGCCCAGAATGAGCGCGGCGGCTCCTTGCGAGATCAATTGGGAAGTATGTGGGGCCTACAGTCAACCCGCATAGTAGGGATGGGCAGCCTTCCCAAAGGGTACCCTTGCATCCTTGCCCCTTCGGTCCATCCTTCGCCACTTTCGCTGGCCGCGCCCCGCTCGAAAAGCTTCGACATGGGCGCCCAAGGCCCTTGCGCCCTTTATCGCTCATCCATACTCTACTGGTTGATTGTACTTGGCGAGACACAAAACATGTGGACACGCGCGGGTGTCTCGGTGCGCGGCGGCGCCGAGCGCAAACACTTCAACTGCGGGGGCGCAGGCGGAGAGCGCTGTGGGGTGCAGGGAGCGCGCCAGGCGTATGCCTGAGCGCGGTGGGCGCGCCGTGCGGGCGCACCCACCGGTGCCGTCCAGTGGGGGCGCACATCAAGAAACCATCTGCTTCTCGTTAGGGTATCCTGGGTTTCTTCGTTCCTCGCGCTGCGCGGTGACTTCCCGCAGGCGTTGAAGGAGTTGCTGCGATCAGGGTGCCCCATGTTTCCCCTCAGGTGCACCTCGCGCACGGGTTCTAGGGGTTGGGCTTCTTGCGAGGAGTTCTTGCGGCCGCGCCCGCACTATAGGTGGAGCTTCCTTCCTAGGGGGCAGGAGACGCGTCAGGGGCGCGCCGAAGTGGGCGCGGTGGCCCATGCGAGGCACCCAGTGTGGCTTAGGTAGAGCTCCCGTTGGCGGGGTGGGGCGAGGGAGGGGGCAGCGAATGCGTGAGTGGTAAGCCGACGTGGGCGCGGTAGCGCCACGCGAACGCACGCACTGAGGCTCCAGCTTGAGCTATCTGAGAGGGGCAGCAAGTGTGTGAGGGGTGTGCCGAAAGAGGCGCGGCGGTGCAAAAGATCACATGCAAACCGATTATGTGAGGCTCTTGGGGCGCTCTTGTGGGCTCTAGGGGCGTCTTGGGTGCATTTTGAGCCGTGTGTGACCTTCGTTGTTCCAGAACGTCCCCAGCACGCTGTCTTTTGCGAATAGAGCGCAGAACGGATGGAACATTTGAAGGACGAGTCGTTTGCAGTTGGCTTTTGGCCCGTGCCGTCCGTGGGCCTCTGCGAGCACAGCCCCGCGCCCATTCCCGGAACCAAGGGCTCCCCCGAGGGCGCGAAGTTATTCGCGCTTCGCGCTTCGCGGTCCTCGTTTCTCCTCCCCCTCCTCCTCGTCCTCCTTTTCTCCCTTTGGGGGGGCGGCGCGAGAGCGCGAAGTTATTCGCGCTTCGCGGAGCGCGAAGCGCGAAGTTGGGAGCCCTAGTTGAATGAAAGGCATTGTGTCTGACTCATGGGCAGGCAGCAGGCGGCTGCTAATATCGTTGGGCGCGCACTCTTGCAGATTATCCGTAAGGGACTTCGCCCCCTGCCGCTGGCCCCCCCTCTCTCGGGGAATGGAGCATGCAAGAGCTATGTTGTGAGGCCTGGGCGCCGTCGTTAAGCAGCGTCGGAACTCCGAACGGGGGCCACTGGAGATACGAGCGTGCCAAAATCCATCAAACACCTAAGGAAGATCGCAGAGATGTTGGCCTCTTAGGCCCCTCTTGGGGGTGCTCTTAGAGCGCTCTTGGGAGCCTCTTGGGCCGTCTTGGGACCATCTTGGACGCTTTGAAGCACTCTTGGACCGGCAGGGGCCTCTTGTACCATCTTGGGGGACCTCGAAAGCGCGAATACTGCTAGGAAGGTGTTTGAATCGGGTACGCGAAGAACGCGTAGTTTACGACGGGGGCGCCGGCATTGTATAATTCACGGTAGTATTTTAACAAACAACAGAACAACCAAAATCACGGGAGAATTGCTTCGGAGACACGAATATCGAATAATTTACGAGGAATGATTGTCTCGGGAGCGCGAACACATCATCATGTGCGAAGGGTGTATGGCTTCGGGGATTCGAACATCGTATAATCTACTCGGAATGATGCCCTCGGGGGCGCGAACATGGCGTAATTTACAAGGCGGTGTGGCTTCTGGGCGCGCGAGCCCGCAGTATTTTTACGTGTTCCAGGACCCCGCAGAAATGTTTAGAACCGCCCCACGTGAATGTAACCAGGGCCCTTGTCGGCTCCCCCCCCGCTCGCGCGGACTTCAACAATTCACAGCAGGAGCCAGACCACAGAATCGTAACTGACATCGGAGATTGGAAACTGGAACTGGAAAGCAACAGGCCCAATCCGCGGAGCCTGGTGGCCGCGCAAGGGGCCCGGTGGATATACACGCTCGCAAAGCAAGGGATGTTTCATGAGTGGTCGCGGTTGCGGAAAAGGTTGTTGCGCCTCCGCTCTCTTTAACGTTATGTTATATTGAATGGTGTGTCGCGGATATTTGCGTTCGTCATTGTGCCAGTTTTCTGGTGCAGTGAGCGTGCGGTATTGTGGGCGAATGCGCATTACCTTTTGTTGCGTTGCCTGCTGTTGGCGTCATGACGAAGCAGCTGCGCTGTCTATGCTCTTCTCCCTGACCCCCGACGCCATGGTTTTTTTTTCACGGCGACGACCCCCAGAGGTCTCGACCGATCCCCCAGGACTGGCTTCTCATCCCGAGTCGTGTTTTGACGGCCTCGAGGCCCTGCCAGGCACCGAAAGTGTGGAAAAGCTCCCCGTCGTGATTGTTCCTTGCCTCGCGGAAGCCTGCGTTGGAGCCCCCGACGGCTGCTGTTTTGAGGGCCCCTCGGGGGGGGGGCCCAGCGCTGGAGGGCGCCGCGGCCCCGGCGGCGAGGCCCCGAGCACCGCGGCGGCGCCGCGCCGCTCTCGTGCGCTCCCGTGCGCGCGGCCCCCTCCCGTCGCGGCCGCCGGCGTGCAGACCCACGGCCCTGGCCGCCTCTGCAGAGGGCGGCGCGGGGCTGCGCACTTAAGCCCCCGACGGGGCTCGCCCCCTGCTCGCTCCCCCCCGCGGGCTTGCCGCTGAGTTGGGGCCGCTTGCCCATTTGCGTTGTTGTGCTGAGAGAGAGCGAGAGAGAGAGAGAGACAAAAAAACGTATACGTATATATATATATATATATAGGGAGAGAGAGAGAGAGACAAGAAATGCTCTCTCTATATCTTTTTCTATATACGTATATATATATATATAGAGAGAGAGAGAGATAGAGAGAGAGAGAGAGACACAAAAAAACAAAAGCTGGAGACCGAACAATGCACGGGGAATGGGCGCACGCGCGATGGCAACGGGTGGTGGTGAGGAGAAAACGGCCTTTTCAGCGGGCGGCGTGGCTTCGCACAAGCCCTCCCGGCTCGCCCCTGCTCGCTCCCCCCACGGGCTTGCCGCTGAGTTTGGGCCGTTTGCCACTGCGTGTTTGTGTTGACCTTGCTTTTCGGTGCTCGCTCTGGGGGCGCGCGCAAGCCCGGCAGCGGCGGGGCATTTGCGCATCGCGCAAGGAGTCGAGTAGGGGATCGACTGCAGAATTGATTTACCCCAGAATTTGTTTTCTCGTCGATCTCGCTAGATTTGCAAACATTCTAGGTTCTCGTCGTAGATCCGATGGGGGATCAGTTTTGGGGTCAATTAATTCTGTAGTCGAATCCCTACTCGATGGAGGGCTGGCTGGCCCCAACGTCGCAGCAACAGAGGGCACGCAGAGCTGGCCCCAGCAGAATCCACGGAGCGCGCAGCGACCAGCAACGCCACGGGCTGTCCGCTCCTGTCGGCGCCTGCAGCATGGAGCCTTTGGAGCTCGCGGGCCGTCGTCTCCAGCAGTGGCGAAGCGTCCTGGCTTGCCTACAGGCCTACCAAAGAAAGTTCTACGAATTTTGTGTTGTCTGCACGACAGGTTTTCGGAGCGTGTCTGGCGAGGACTGTCCTGTTCTGGCGCATCGGGCCACAGTTCTGAGAGCAGCGTTTTGTCTTTGGAACATCTTCTGGTTCTAAAAGATCATCTCGTGGCAGGCCTGTAGGAATGCTGGGACGGTCGGTCCCTGCTCAGCTGGAGCGTCTTTTTTGTTCCTCCGCTCTCTCCCTCTCTCCCGGCGCACGCGGCCGGCGTGTGCACTCGCCCCGCTCCGCGCGGGCCCCCGCCCGTCGCCTCGGGCGGGAGCCCGGCGGGCCCCTCCTCTTTCAGGAGGGAAAGAAACACACAGACACAATGAATCCTCCATTCTCCAGAAAATATGGGAAAATATGGGAAATGGTGGGGAAGACAGAAACCCAGAAAATATTGGAAAATATAGGGAATCTTATTATTTGTGTGTATTTATTTGTGTGTCCTGGGGCCCCTTCACTCTTCGGCGCCCTCGGCGCCCCTTCGGTTTTCTGGCGCAGCCCCCAGCCGCCCCGAGGGTCGCGGGCGTCCTAGCCCCACCCTCACTCGGGGCCCGCGTTGGCGTGCCTCCCCGAGCCCCTCCTCGGCGAAGGGCGGCGGGGTCCCCGTCGCTGCCTCTCTCCTCCTGCGGCGCGGTCCTGGCACTCCTGCTTTTCTTCCGGCCCTCTTGCGCCGCCCAGGCCCCTTCTCCAGCCGCCGCCGCCCCTCGCCGCGCCGGCGTCCGCGCGGGCCCCCCGCCCGCCGCTGCCGGGCGCGCCCGCGCGGCAGCGGGCGGCGGCCGCGGCCCAGTCTCCGCGGCCCCCCCTCCTCGCCGTGTGGCGCCGGCGGGGCCCTGCCCGCCCGTTTGCTGCGGCGGCCCGCCAGAGCGTTGGGGCCCCGCCAGCAGCGGCCTTTTGCGTGGTGGTGGTTGGGCCGATGGTGGTGCTGCTGGCTGCCGTCGTGGTGGTGGCGCTGGTGGTCGCTGTCGTGGTGGTGGTGCCGGTCGCCGTGCTGGTGGTGGTGGCGCTGCTGGTCGTAGTCTTTGTGGTGGTGGTGGTGGTGGTCGTGGTGGTGGTGGTGGTGGTGGTGGTGGTGGTGCTGCTGCTGCTGCTGCTGCTGCTGCTGCTGCTGCTGCTGCTGCTGCTGCTGCTGCTGCTGCTGCTGCTGCTGCTGCTGCTTGTTGTCGCAGTTGTGGTTATGGTTGTCGTGGTGCTGCTGGTCGCCGTGCTCCCCATGGTCGCCGTGCTGGTGGTGGCGCTGCTGGTCGTAGTCGTGGTGGTGGTGGTGGTTCTGCTGCTGCCGTTGCTGCTGCTGCTGCTGCTGCTGCTGCTGCTGCTGCTGCTGCTGCTGCTGCTGTTGCTGCTGCTGCTGCTGCTGCTGCTGCTTGTTGACGCAGTTGTGGCAGTGGTTGTCGTGGTTTTGCTGGTCGCCGTGCTCCCCATGGTCGCCGTCGTGGTGGTGGTGGTGCTGGTCGCCGTGGTGGTGGTGGTGGTGGTGGTGGTGGTGGTGGTGGTGGCGCTGCTCGTCGTAGTGGTTGTGTTCTTGCTGCTGCTGCTGCTGCTGCTGCTGCTGCTGCTGCTGCTGCTGCTGCTGCTGCTGCTGCTGCTGCTGTTTGTTGTGGCTGTAGTGGTAGTGGAGTGGTAGTGGTTGTCGTGGTGCTGCTGGTCGCCGTGCTGCCCCTGGTCGCCGTGGTGGAGGTGGTGGTGGTGCTGGTCGCCGTGCTGGTGGTGGTGGTGGTGCTGATTGTAGTTAGCTTTGGTGGTGCTGCTGCTGCTGCTGCTGCTGCTGCTGGTGCTGCTGCTGCTGCTGCTGCTGCTGCTGCTGCTGCTGCTGCTGCTGCTGCTGCTGCTGCTGCTGCTGCTGCTTGTTGGCGCAGTTGCGGTAGTGGTTGTCGTGGTGCTGCTCGTCGCCGTGCTGCTCCTGGTCGCCGTCGTGGTGCCCCCCTCCTGCCTCCGATGTCTTTCGTCGCGGGCGCCCACGACATGTAACACTGTGGTGGGGAGCAGGCAGAGAGAAAGCAGTCAGATATCGGAGTTCGACCCGTCACCTGTAGTAAAAAACAACCGGAGATCCGTGAACATTTCGTATTCGTTGGCGAAGGCTTCGGAACAATCGTTCTCGCTCGTGGGCGAGGGCGCGCGCAGGCAGAAACAAAAACATGCGAAAGGGGTTTGCTCCACAGTGGCTATCCCACCTGTGGGCCCACAGGATATTTATTACAAATGTAAATTCCCCGGCCCGCTGTCCAACTTACGCTGGCATTTTGCGCTGCGTGCGCACGCGGGCACTGCTTCACCGCAAAGGCAGCGTAATGTTTCATTCGTGGCGCGTTGTGTCCGCCAGTACACGTGTGAATCGCGTCGATGTCGTTGCCTAGCTGTCGGAGTAGACGGTGCTGTTTTACTGTTCGTTGTTCTGCGCGCGCGGGACAGGAGGGAGAGCGCACGATGCCACACCACAGCGCCGTAGCAGAATCTGAGTGGCAAGCGTGGTTTTCATTATTCTTTCCTCAAAATGGCGATTGTCTTTCTGGGTTTCCTTTTCTTTCCCCGCGTATACCGATGACGGCGCGCCGGGCTCTGAGGCCGAAGGCCAGAGCGTCGACCACAAATACGGAAACCGCGGCCCGGGCTCGCCTCTGGGAGGCTTAGACACGCAGCCGCCGGCCCCAGTGGTCACGACACATCCCCACAACGCCGTCCAGGAACCTTCTTGGCGACGCACAATGCCTTTGAAATTGCCCCCGAGGCGCCCACGGCGCTCCAAGACGCTTGCACGATGCCGCCGACGAGCGCCCGGAGACTGCAAAATCGGTGATGTTTCTTTATTTTTCATTTGGAAAAAATGTGCACTATATCGTGTTGCCCACGCTTGAGTAGTGGCCCAAAAGCGCCAAAAACCGTTCCAAGACGGCCAAAGAGGACCCCGAGAGCGCCCAAGCGAGCCCCGAGACAGCCCCAAAGCCGCCCAAGAAGGTGCAAGGGGGCCAAAAAAAGGCGCCAAGAGGGGCCCAAGAGAGGGAACGAGAACTGACAAGGCAAGCCCTTCTTGCCTCGGAAGGCCTCCCAGAGGCCACCAAGAAGACCAAAAGAGGGCCCAAGATGGCACTCTAAAGACATCAAAACTCCTTCTGGCGAAATCACCGAAGACAGACCGAGAAGGTCCACCTTGGGAGCTCCGAGAGGGCTCCAAGAAGCTAGCTAGAACTTCGGCGCAAGCGAAGCGCGCTGGTTCCAGCGCCACTGCATGGTTTGCCACGTGGGCTCTTGCGCACGAGCATAAACGAGACGGCTGGGCGCCACAATATAGCTTTTCATGGTGGAAGCTCATCGGGCCCAGGTGGCTGGACCGGTGTTCGCTTGTTCGTCCATCCTCACACAAGGGGTGGTTTCCGTTAGGCTTTCGGTCTGGCGCAAACAGAAAAAAAAAAAAACATGGTCGCATACTCGCGCGCCCGCACGTGCGAGCACCAGCGACAAAGAGAGAGCATCGCGTCACCGCACACTTTCTTGCGTGCGGGATGTACTGCTGGGCACAGCCAGAGCGTAGAGACCGAGATGGACCCCTACTCTAGTTCATGATCCTGTACCCAGTTTGCCTGACTCCCTCAAATTTTTGTTCTGGTGACATGTGATTTCCCTGCAGCTTTTGTTTTCTGAACCATTTGTTACACTGCTGTCTGTCGTTAGTTCTTGTTCTCGCGTGTGCGCTGAGTGGATAAATTCCTCCGTTCCTAATTGTTTTTCTTCCCCGGACGCACGATAGAAACCAGAAGGGCTACCATGAGGTACCCCGCCTTGGGGTGCAAGGCGACACGTTGCACTAAAAAAATACCCAACCGCAAAAATAAATGTACCATGCTTCTTTCTTTACGTCGCTGAGGACAGAGAGAGAGAGAGAGAGAGAGAGAGAGAGAGAGAGAGAGAACAAACGAGAGAACAAAAGAGAGAGAGAGAGAGAGAGAGAGAGAGAGAGAGAGAGAGAAAAAAGAGAGAGAGACAGAGAGAGGGAACCAAAACAAACAAAACGAGAGCGCGCCCGCTGCCTCCCAGCGCGTAGTGCATCAATAGTGGCCGTGTTGTGCTCTGCGCCAAGAATATCTCGCCGCATGTCGGGAAGGCCGTCTCGCCCACAACATCCGCAATCCACTCTCACCCCTAGTACCCTGCACCCTAGTAGTCGCCCACCCCATCCCTAAAATACTCCTGTGTCCTG